CACACACACAGACACCACACACACACACACACACAGAGACACACACCGGTCAGTTGATCTGGTCTTTTGAAAACACAGCGAGAAAAATGTAGCTCTGCTAAAGCTACGGTGCTAATTAGTTTGGCTACGCTAACGCTTTAGGTGAGGCCAGAAGGTGCCACAGTGAACAGCCAGTCATCTACCCACCTTGTCTAATTTGTTGAATGAACATTTATCATCATGTTATTTGCATTTTTTTATTTTGGAAGCTTAACTTTATTTCTTATTTTTAACATAGCCATCTATTATCTTGTAATTATTGTGTTTGGTCAGTTGAGGTTGTTCTAAATGCTCTATATAAACTTTGATTTGATGAACATTAGTTCTGCTAAGCTAAAGTGATGTGCTTTCAGGATGTTTAGTGGAGGAAACAACTTGATACCCATCGTTTGTCTCTGACACTAGCTGTGTGGTTAGCGCTTCAGGAAGGATTCTTTGGATCAGACATTTCTCGCATGCTTCAGTTTTATAGCTGTTGAGTTTTGATAACGCTGTTGTTAATTTAGCGTAAGTGACCAAATATATTTCCTTAAAAAGTTACTGTAGTAAATGCACATCTCTGGCAGGATCGAATCATGAAGGAGGAGGACAACCTCCCAATACTTTAACTTTGTTCCAAATCAACAGCTGGAGAAAAATTATATTAACCAATTCAAACCAGTTCAAACCGGTTTAAAACTGGTGATAGTTCTGCTGGGCACAGTGGTCCAACATCAACCAGACTGACAGTCAGATGGCTCCGCCCCTTCCTGCAGGCAGTCATCACATCGACATCAGCGTGGGCGGAGACACCATGATGGCCAGGATGCTGCGCACCACCATCTCTGGCTTCAACAGCTCCTCCAAGAGCAGCAACCAGAGCGACAACCGCGGTGAGTCCCAGTTCACTGAACTGAGTCACTGAACTGAATCACACTGAACTGATTCACACTGAACTGATTCACACTGAACTGATTCACACTGAACTGAATCATATTGAAGTGATTCATACTGAAGTGAACTGGATTTGACTTGGCCCTGTGGTCTGGTCTGGTGCTGGTCCTGTTTAAACTGGTTTTTCTGCTGGTAATGAACCAGGATCTGCAGCCTGCTGGGTGTTGGACACACATTCACCCAGCAGGGGGCGACAGCTTCCTCCCTCTGAAGAGCAGGAACCATTTTCATCTGAACTCACTTCCTCATCCTCAGCATGCCTGTTCGCCCCGACTCGCTCCCGTTTGAGTGTATGTGAGATGTGTGGGCGTCATCCTGGTGGTGGCGCTGTTCAGCTGTGTCCAGGTTTAACACCAACCGCCTGCGCCACGTCATCGCAGCTTTCTACAACCCAAAGGTCAAAACACCAACAACACCTGAGTTCATCATTAAAATCTTTATTTAACTAGAGCAGTGCTTCTCAAATAGTGGGGCGGGAACCTTTGGGGGGCGCGGTGCGATACCTGGGGGGGCGTGTGATCCTGGGGAAAGGCTTTTTTTTGGCCGAAACTAGTATAAAGTGTAATTGCGCACAGTAGCGGCAGTGGCGCTCTCATTTTTACTTCTGTCACGTTTGCGACAGTGCAACATTTTACGACTTACAAGACAACAGGTTTGCCTTGGTTAGCAGTGTTAAGTCAACAAAAGCTCCGACTGCGTTCTGTCTATGGCCTCCGTTATTCAACAACCCCCAACATGAAAAAGTTTTTCACAGGGATGAAAAGAAAAGCGGAGAGAGACAAAGATAATGAGACAACAGAAAGTCAACCGAAAGCTAAGAAGAGGAAATACAACGAAGCGTATTTAGCGCTTGGCTTCACTGTGACTACAGTTGGAGAAGAGGAAAGACCGGTGTGTTTGCTGTGTCTAAAAATGCTCCCAGCGGACAGCATGAAGCCAAATAAATTAGCGCGTCACTTAAATACGTTACATCCCAATCACGCCGATAAGCCGCTAGAGTTTTTTCAGCGAAAAAAATGTTAATAAGGAAAAAATGTTATGCAGAGATGGATAGTCACGGTGGGGAGTGGGGGGCGCGAATAGTTTTCTTCTTGCTAGGGGGGGCGTAACGGAAAATAATTGAGAAGCACTGAGTTAGAGGGATGACGCAAAGACACCCGCCATCCACCTGTCTGTCTCTCTCTCTCTGTTCACCTGTCTCTCTCTGTCCACCTGTCTGTCTCTCTCTCTGTCCACCTGTCTCTCTCTCTCTGTCCACCTGTCTGTCTCTCTCTGTCCACCTGTCTCTCTCTCTCTGTCCACCTGTCTGTCTCTCTCTGTCCACCTGTCTGTCTCTCTCTCTGTCCACCTGTCTCTCTCTATCTGTCCACCTGTCTGTCTCTCTCTGTCCACCTGTCTCTCTCTCTCTGTCCACCTGTCTCTCTCTCTCTGTCCACCTGTCTGTCTCTGTCCACCTGTCTGTCTCTCTCTGTCCACCTGTCTCTCTCTCTCTGTCCACCTGTCTGTCTCTCTCTGTCCACCTGTCTGTCACTCTCTCTGTCCACCTGTCTGTCTCTGTCCACCTGTCTCTCTCTATCTGTCCACCTGTCTGTCTGTCTCTGTCCACCTGCCTGTCTCTCTCTGCAGAGGGAGAAGAAGCGCGTCTTGTTCCTCTACAACCTGCAGCTCCACAGACAGCTGTCGTCCCCCAAATGCAGGATGCACGTGAGCCGAGGACGGAGGACGGTGAGCAAATTGTCCTCCTTCAGTCTGTCAGACAGAGCAGTTTGTCAAGTTACACTGGAAGAAACTAACAGCAATAATTTGGTTTATTTTGCACATTGTTATGAATATTTAGCAAGCAAGCTAATTATTGCCGTCTAAATATCCAGGTTAATATCTGAAATACTTAATTTGGAGATTAAGTATTTTGTTTCAAAATTAAATGTCTGAGTTGGAAATTAAATTTTCAGTTTGTTACTAAATATTTAGATCAGACTTAAACATTTAGGAGAGAACTAAATATTTAGTTTACTAATTAAATATTTAATTTGAAAGCTAAATATTAAGTTTATATTTATAAATGTAGGAATAGTATGACTTTTAAAAATGAACAACCACATTTTTTCTCTATGACATTCTAAACAAACTAAATTATTGCTGTTAGTTTTTTGCAGTGTGTCATCGACAGTACTCCAGCTTCTTCTGCTCTGCCTGCAGATGTTTCAGCGCCTGACCAGGTGGGGGCGCCGTCTCCTTCGTTACCCCGGCAGGATGCCTCAGACCAGGAGGAGACTCACTACGCTAGCAGCTAGCCAGGGATCCGCCTGAGAGACGCTCTCACTCACGTTCATCACCTCAAATAAAACCCGACCTCGTCCTACAAGACTGGCGACGGAAACCGGAGAGAAATGTGATGCAAAGAAAATCATCTGGAAGAACGACAACTTTCCCTGGAATGTCAGCCATATTTATGAGGCTCTTCACAAACAAACAGGCTGCACCAAATGACTGGATAATCAATAAAACGAAAGATCTGAGTTCAGGGTTTAAAACCACCATTAGTCTTCACACCAACTGAACTTTTCCTCATTTCTTAGTAAAACATGGAGAACGTCTCTCAACATCAGTTCAGTTTTGAGTTGTTCTGCTGGAAGGTGACCTTTGACCCCAGTCAGCTCTCCTGCAGGGTTTGTGCTCAGAATGTTCTGGTTTAGCCCCACAGCATGATGCTGCCGTGTGTTCTCTCATGTCTTGGTTTTCTACCTGAAGCGGAGCAGAACTCTGCAGTTTGGTGGCGTTTTGTGGACTCAGACTGCGCCGCTCATGGAGGAAGAGGAAGAGTTCACGGCTCCTCTTTCTGCATGCAGCCCAGTGATGTGATTACCGCCGCAGCGTGACGTCAGCAGCTGATCCGCTGCTTCATCCGCGCACCAAACTGACTCTGGATCAGATTGCTCCTCTGAACCGCCGCTGACCTCAGCAGCCACTAATCCTTCTGATTCTGCAGCAGTCAGCCGGGTTCTGATTCCAGACCTGCAGCCCGTCTTCAGCAGCTGCTGCACATCATTTCAGCCTGGAAACTGTCACACCTTAACCCAGTGGTTCCCAAACATTTCCTGGGCCCAATATGGATTACAATAAAATCCCCAAAAAAGAAAAAAATCAACTGGGCACATCGTTCAACCAGATATAACCCTTTACACATATTTAGTTTTCAAACTCCACCGAAGTTTATTATTATTGTTACTATAATTGACTAAATATTTAGTGTGAAGTTAAAGACTTAGCTTCCAAATGGCTACCTAACTGTGATATTTTCAGTGAATTAATAACATGGTGGAGATATTACTTGAAATAATAAACTTCATTTTTTCTCTCTCATGACTAAATAACCCAAATTATTTATTTAAAGTTAAAAGCAGAAACCCAAAGGATAAAAGACTGAAATACAGAAATTATAACAATGTGGGATAAAACATCTGGATAAAGACTTATTTGTTATATATTTAAATATTTAAATACAGCAAGATAATGAACAGCTTCCCCCATAATGTTTAACATGCAAGTAAGACTTCGAAAAAATATATAAAAATATCAGAAAATAATTTTTCCCCACATTACGGCATCTAGACGAAGTATTTATTGCAGAGTGCTTGTCTTTATGTGGCCCTGATGGGGTTAATTTTAATATACTCAGCTCAGAAACCCGCTGGTCTCAGATGAAGTTGAGAGGTTCTCCGGTGGGTGTGTAAATACTATTGTACTAACATGCAGCATTGTAATAAGCCCGACAGTCGTTTAAATACTGCTTCCGGTTGGTTTTCGATGTAAAATGTATTTAGAAGTTTATTGTTTCACATTTTCTATGCTTTTGATAATATTAGCTACGAAAATAAACAAAAGCTTGCGCAAAATTTCTAAAACAGATTAAAATCTGTTTAACAAATGCTGCTTAAGGGCTGAAATCAAATTTCCTTAAGTGTGGGGTGCTCTTATTTTGATGGGTAACATTCAGTATTTCCGGCGTGTTGCGCCTAGCTTAACTCAGCGAGATGACGTCTTCGTTAACTCCCGGTATAAACACGGGCGGTCCGGTGTTCTCCTATTATCAGCCTCAGCGATTTTAATTCGTACAGAAAGAAGTTCGTGAGTCCGGACGGAATTACCAGACTGAAACCGAACCGGTTCTGTTGGTCCTTTGCGCAGTTCCTTCCAGATAGGTGCAGTTTTACCAGAAACTGCGCAGTTCGGGAGCAGGGCGGGAGTCCCGCCGCATTAACGGGACCGATAGACGGTCCCGCTGGTCGTCCGGAACTCGGACCCGCTCGGTTCGGTCTTAACGGGCTCTCTCTGGGAACGCAGGCGCCATGGAGTCTTGGTGGAGCCGTTCCCGGAGCTCCGACACCGGGAGGTAACCGGAGCGGGACAGCAGAGCCTCGCACGGCGGACCGCGGCAACCTGTTGCCGGTTTCCGGGGACACAGAGAGGATGAGCGGCGCCGCCGGACCGCCGCTGCCGCTGCCGCTGCTGCTGCTGCTGCTGGGCGGCCGTGCGGCGTTCATGGGCTGCCGGTCCCTGAACGCACCGCAGGACGGAGCGGTTCTGTCTGCGGAGATCCAGATGGACGCTGCTCTGACCGGTAGGGAGGTTAAAGGTCAATCAGAAAATAATCAGATTAATTTACATTTTTAGTTTATTTATTATCTCCATTTTCTCCAAAAACACGTGAATGTTAAATATGCTTTGGTTTAGAGAAAACAAAATATTTTACAGGTGCTTTGTAAATAAAAATACAAAGCAAGTTAGTTGATTTTGGTAAATAAGCGTCAGACTGCTGTGACTCATTTCATGTTTCTTTCTGGTGTCTTGCTGACTACCACTTCCAGCTGCGGATGAAACTTTTTCTCAACACTCTTCCTTCCACTCAATTTTCCATGAATGTATTAGGATCCAGTCCTCTGTGACCAAACAGCTTCTGTCCAGTTATGTCAGACAGAACAGAATATTTTATGAGAAGTTGGGGTTTTATTTGCTGGGATGAGTTTCTTTTTTTAACAGCTGGAATAAATGAACTTCTTCATGTTTTTCTGTTGACATCTTAAAATCCAGATATTTGGGAGACATTCAGGGTCGGCGCCGTGTCTCTGTGTCTTTCAGGTGTGGACAGACAGAGACGTCCCTTCCTGGAGAAAACTCGTCCCTTCGTCCTGGTGGACGGACAGAGGAGGAGTCTGGCTGAAGCTGTGCAGGTTGGTGCTGGTTTCACTGGTTTCACTGGTTTGTTGTTGGGTAAATGCTGAACGATGATAGATGCTTCCATCGTTGGTGCGTCAGAAAAACCTCAGCTGCATCTTAAAGTCACCGATCTCAAACTTTAACAGTAATTCTTACTTATTTACCAAAACTAAAACATTTAGTAGTTTGATTGTTTTATTTCCAAAGATTTCCATCATTTAACTTTTTGCTAACTGTCACCAAAACAAAAGCTGATAAGATGCCTGGTCTGTTACCATGCTTACCTGATGGGAGGGATGCTGCCCCATGTTGCGTTCAAGCATGGCCCAGAAGTCAGACCTTTCAGCGTTCTGCTCTGATCCTTTCAGCAAAAACTAAATGTCCAGTTTCCACAGCCTGATCGGCCCGGCTCCGTCGGACGGCGGCTCCGTCTATTTTATTTTGTAATAATTCAGAAAGTTTTTGCTTCTCACTGAAGGCTTGATTTGCTTTGTAAACAGCGATGTGTTCCTGTAAATGATTAATGATGAATCAGAGGGAATCATTCAGACTTTGAGGGCCTTATTTTGCCGTTGACGTCGGACCTGCAGGAGTTTGTAGGGAATCCGCCGCCCTGCGTTCGGTTTCCTCCCTCTTCACGCAGGAAGGAAGCCGCGCCGTTTTCACCCGCAGCTTCCTGCAGGAGCGCCGAGATCTGAACACAGGAGGACGACCGCTTCCTGTGCAGCTGACAGAAACTCTGAGATCATTTCCTGCAGGAACCCCCCACCTGACTCCACCCTGCAGGGAGGAAACGGGGAGTGCAGCAGGAGAAAGTGGGAGAGCCAACAAACTGGGATTCTGGTGGACTCAGCGGTTTCCCTCCAGACCAGGAGAAACCCGGAAACAGCAACCAGCCAATCAAAACCACAGGATGGCGCCGACGACAAACTGGTTTTTGGCAACAAAAAAAAAGTTGCCAGATTTGTTGCTTGTTGCCGTTTGAAACCACAATCTTACAGAACCGGGTCAACGTTCTGTGAACTGAAGCTTTAATCTTTGCATAAATGATCAGAACGCTGAAATGTCAGATTTTTTGGGTTGCGTTTGAACGCCGCTCAGCCATTGCAGAATCTGACCGCCAGCTGCTGATTGAACCCACATGCTTTGGTTCTGACTAACATCTGGGATCCAAACTGATGGTTCCCCTTCCCCTACTGGGCCCACTTCCTGGTGGATACAGAAACCAGAACCTTCAGGCCAGGTTCTGACCCGGCTGGGTTCTAACTGAACCGTTCAGAGGCTTTCCCTCTGGTCATGACTCAGTAACGATCCCACCCGGCCAGCAGCCGAGGTGGAGAAAACAAACACGCCTCGGAGGGGAATTCTGCTGCCCCACCCAGAGCTTTTACTGGGATCAAACTGGGATCAAACTGGGACGGTTCTGAAGCCAGCGGATAAACACAGACCTGGTGCAAGTGAGGAAACAATAGAGCCGACCAATCAGAACCAAAACCAGAGGTTCTGATACTGAACTGGACCAAGACTCCACTTTACACACTGTGCTCTGGTCCAGTCTGGCTCAGTCTGGTTCTGTTCAGGTCCAGTCAGGTCTAGTTTGGTCCAGTCAGATCCAGTCCGGTTCTGGTCGCTAACTTGAAATGCTAACTAAACGCTCAGTTTAAATCTGCTGATAAACAGGAGATTTTCTGTGTTATTCCCATTTCTAGCCTGTATTTATTTGATGTCAGACTGTAATTAATGAAGTGTTAGTAATTAATGAAGTGTTAGTAATTAATGAAGTGTTAGTAATTAATGAAGTGTTAGTAATTAATGAATATTATTTCTCACATTTTCAATGAATCTAATAAAAAGCTGGACTTTTATCAAGTTTATTTCTAAAGCACATTTCGTCCACAAGGCGGCTAAAAGTTCACATAAAAAGCCTCAAACCATCATGAAGTCACTAATGAACCAAACATGTTCCAGTTATTATCAATCAGAGCAGCTCTGTTGTTCTAGCCTGGATTTAAAGAAACTCAGTGTTTCAGCCGTTTTGCAGTTTTCTAGAAGTTTGTTCCCAATTTGTGGTGCATAGAAGCTGAATGCTGCTTCTCCATGTTTGGATCTGGTTCTGATCAAAAGACTCAAGAGGTCTGGCAGGTTGATCCAGCAGCAGCAGATCTTTAATCCTTTGTCTCTGTGTGTCTCAGTTTATCTCTTCGTGTCTCAGTTTGTCTCTGTGTGTCTCAGTTTATCTCTTCGTGTCTCAGTTTGTCTCTTCGTGTCTCAGTTTGTCTCTGTGTGTCTCAGTTTGTCTCTGTGTGTCTCAGTTTGTCTCTGTGTGTCTCAGTTTGTCTCTGTGTGTCTCAGTTTGTCTCTGTGTGTCTCAGTTTGTCTCTGTGTGTCTCAGTTTGTCTCTTCGTCTCAGTTTGTCTCTTCGTCTCAGTTTGTCTCTTCGTGTCTCAGTTTGTCTCTTCGTCTCAGTTTGTCTCTTCGTGTCTCAGTTTGTCTTTACGTGTCTCAGTTTGTCTCTTCGTGTCTCAGTTTGTCTCTACGTGTCTCAGTTTGTCTCTACGTGTCTCAGTTTGTCTCTGTGTGTCTCAGTTTGTCTCTGTGTGTCTCAGTTTGTCTCTACGTGTCTCAGTTTGTCTCTTCGTCTCAGTTTGTCTCTGTGTGTCTCAGTTTGTCTCTACGTGTCTCAGTTTGTCTCTGTGTGTCTCAGTTTGTCTCTACGTGTCTCAGTTTGTCTCTGTATGTCTCAGTTTGTCTCTGTGTGTCTCAGTTTGTCTCTGTGTGTCTCAGTTTGTCTCTACGTGTCTCAGTTTGTCTCTACGTGTCTCAGTTTGTCTCAGTTTGTCTCTACGTGTCTCAGTTTGTCTCAGTTTGTCTCTACGTGTCTCAGTTTGTCTCTACGTGTCTCAGTTTGTCTCTACGTGTCTCAGTTTGTCTCTGTGTGTCTCAGTTTGTCTCTACGTGTCTCAGTTTGTCTCTACGTGTCTCAGTTTGTCTCTACGTGTCTCAGTTTGTCACTGTGTGTCTCTAGTCCTTCAGTGTCTCAGTCTCAGTGTGAATCTGAAGCGAAGGCCTTCAGCAGGAAGTTGCTTCTGTCTCAGCCGGATCACTTCCTGTGGAGTTGAGAGGAGACAGAGAAGAGATGCTGGACAGGAAGTATCTGGTCTTCAAAGAGCCGGGGACAGGAAGTGTCTCTGATTGCATTGCGGATGCACTCAGTCACGCCCACATCCCAGACGGCCTTAAAGTGACATTTCTATTTTTACCGCTCAGATTTTATGTTTTCTCTCCAAGCAGCCAGACCAGTCTGCTAACTGGTCTGCTAACTGGTCTGCTAACTGGTCTGGATCTGATGTTCTTCAGCTACTTCCTGTCCAATATCTACCCGTCCTGCTCATTAATCAGCGTATTGATCAGATTCTTCTGTTATCGTTCTCCCTCTGCAGCTGAATCTGGGCCCATATTGATGCTATGACAGATAATAACTGATATTTACCAATAATATCTTTATGAGCTCTCCTCTAATAACACTGATAGACGCATATTTTAGTCATTTAAACTAATCTGCATTGATACGCAGTGGAAATATCTTTGCATGAACAGCAGAAGCTAACGGCCACGGCGATGAGGAAACTGAGTTTTCCTGAAATGGCGTCACTCGAATCTTCTTTCATTCCCAGGATTCTTTGTGAATTTGGCGCCAGGTTTATTTCAGACGATCCATATTTTACGTGTAGCGTCCTATTGTTCCCGTCTCTCCTCGTTCAGATAAATGACAACCTGCAGAGAACTGATATGGCTTTGGCTTTCTGGAGAAAGCCAAATCTGACGGAGGAGTATGTTGGCTAATATTGGCTCATTGTGTTTGCAGACAGGGAGGAACCAGTCTGAGAGCTGCACTCCCAGTTTCACCTTTCCAGCAAACCGCAAAGTATCTGAACCTGCAGCTAAAGCAGGAAGTACAGTAACCTGGAAAACACCTGCAGTCCGTCCAGGTGGGTCCCGTGCAGAAAATGACGGGTTCCAGTTTCTGCTCCAGACAGTATCAGGTGTTTTCCTGGTTAATGGCAGACTCCCAATGGAGCGCCACATTGATGCCCATTGATGGGTGTTAGTGAACGATCAAACGAGAGGTTCAGACATGAAGCAGCACTGCAACAAGGTAGCAGCAACTCACCAGGTAAAGGAGTCTGAGAGTGAAGAGCATCGGTTTGTGAAGATCTGCAGTGGAGACGGAAGAGGAAGTAACTGCAATCCAAGGCTTTAAAAAGTAGGGAGTGTTTGTGGCAACAAAGGAAGTGGCCCCGCAAAAATAAAAGTCACCTGTCTTTAAAATGTGCTGCTCTTTCAGAAGCTCCAATGGAGGAGCCATTTGAGTATTTGACCCCAACATGGCTCCTCCATTGACCCTTTAGCAGCGTTTCTACCAGCTCTGCTCTGAGCAGCAGCTCCTGCAATGAGCTCAAAACTGGAGAGTAGTAGGAGAAAGTAGCAGAGTGAGGAGTGGACAGTTATGCTGCAGCAGCCTAAACCTGCTGCAGCATAGCTACAGACGTAGCTCAGGATTACCTGAGCTATCAGTTCAAACAGAAAGGAAAGTTTTAAGCCCGGTTCTAAAGGATCTAGAACCAAGTCTGCGATTGTAAAAAAAAAAAATGCAATCAAAATCACCTGTAAATAAGTTTGTATGTCATTAAGTTGGCATATGTTCTGGTACAGATTGACCTTTGACCCTTGCTTTGGGTTGTGGGTTGGGTTATGTTCTGGTTCTGACCCATTTTGTGTGTTTTCAGGACGGCCATCCCGACAGGCTGCTGTGCGAGCTGGAGGTGGGAGGACAGCGCCTCCTGCTGGACCTGGAGAAGAACCAGTAAGTACCGGTACTGTACTGGCCTCGCTTCCAGCATGGTACCGTACCAGCACCAGTACGCTGCCCGTCGGGACCCATTCAGAACCATCAACCCTCTCTGTTCCCGCAGCAACCTGCTGCCCAGACCGCCCAACATCTTCTTCTACCTCCCCAACGGAACCGGAGTGTCTTTGCCGGCCGAGCCTGTGGTGAGTCAGTGAACGCACCGCGGTCCCTTCAGGTTCTCCGGCTGTGACTGATGTCGATGCGTTTGTGTCGCCTGCAGACTCACTGCTATTACCACGGCAACATCCGGGGATTTCCGCGGTCCAGAGCGGCTCTGAGCACCTGCTCCGGACTCCGGTCAGTACCGCCGCGGAGTCCGATCCGAACACAGCCAGGTTCTGGTCCCGCTCTGTCTGAGGAAACAAACGGTTAATCTTCTGATGTTTTCCAGCCTTGATTGATGTCAATGCTGAAAAATTAAAACATGAGTTAGCGGAAATACTGTTAGCGCTTTAGCATTAGCTTCCACTAAATACCATGCTAGTACAGCTTTAGCATTAGCTTCCACTAAATACCATGCTAGTACAGCTTTAGCATTAGCTTCCACTTAATCACACATAGGTGTAGCAATTTTTAATTAGAGGAGCTAACATTTATAACTGGCACTTATAAATGAGGCATTATAAAACCACTGATTACAGATCAAACTGGTCTTTATGACTAAAATATGACTGAATATTGTAATATTCCAAATGAAAAGGTTTGGGTGGTCATGTTTAACGGGTAAGTTCTGGTTCTGGTTGGTTCAGACAGAACAGTGACTGAAGATTAATAATCCCAGTGAATGAAACCGCTGCGTTTCTGCGTTCAGCCCCTTGCTGTTGGGCTCAGGAAGTTTCTCTGGTTTCCCAACATCGATCTGGTTCTGCTGACGCTGCAGAAATCTGCTGACTCGTTCATTCCGGCTCGGTTCTGCTGAGTCACTCAGATCAAGAAGCGGCAGGCGGGCCGGTGCAGAACCAGAGTTCTGTTCACATTAGTTCACCAGCTCTTTGTATTTCTGGGCGTTTTGCGTCCCAGTTCTCCTGCAGGTCCAGCTGATCCGATTAGCGAACCTCTGACCTGCAGCGGGACCAGAGGGTTTGAGGTTTTCGGGCCGGAGCGAGTCGCCACACAGGAAACTGTTACAGATATGATGTGGAGCTTTTTGTGCTCAGCTGGGATTATTCAGATTAGCTGGAAACACAGAAATCCTCAGATAATCCCTCCAACGGTGACAACAGAGAACCAAAACCGAGACGGGAAGAGTCGGCGTTCTGAACCATTCAGCAGCAACGAAAACCCAAATAAACCCAAACAGCTTCTGTTGCCTCGCTGACTCAGCAGCAGCATCCGGTTAAAGGTTCGCACAAAAACTGTAAAAATCTAAACAAAAAGTTCAACAATAATAATATACTGCACAGCTACTAGGAATGGAAATATGGGATTAATCCAAAGAATGCAGCTGAGTCAGATCAATTTCCAAATGTACAGAGTGGGTATTAATCATTGAAAGTATTTACAGCATGTTGGTGCAGAAAAACAGATGAGTAGTACGAGCAGAAATGTTTTTAAAGTCACTCAGAACAGAGTAGATTGTGCAATTTCTGGTTTCAGAAAGTTCAGCTGTTTCAGCTCTGAGATGCTGAAACAACATGAGGTTTGAACCCATGAGAGCCAGCGCCGCTGTTCCGACACGCGGCCACCTGGAGGCGCTGCTCTGACCGGCCTGAGGATCCAGCCTCTGATTTAATCTGATGTTTCTTCCCTGCTCAGCCTGCGACGGAGGAAATTTAATTCATGAAATCAATGACATCTTCTTCTGTGGCTTCTTCGTTCCTGCAGCGGTGTAATCGTCCTCAATTCCTCCGTGACCTTGGAGCTGCAGCCAGAGGTCAGGGAGCGGCTGGAGGAGCAGGGAGGAGGAGCAGAGGAGGAAGACGTTCACTTGCTGTTCTCTGCCGGTCCTCTGGAGGGCGCCACGGCGAACTGCGCCGTGCCGCACACGCCCAGTTCTCCGTCCTCCACCCGCAGCGTGGGCCGGCGGGTGAGCCGCCGTTATTCTGCATGCTCCTGTTCTGACCTCTGACCTCTGACCCCGCTCCGTTTCCCCGCAGACCAAGAGAGACATCCTGTCTGAGACCAAAACACGTGGAGCTGGTGCTGGTGGCGGACCATCAGGAGGTCAGTGAGGGTCCGTCTCAGAAGGTTTCTACAAAAACTGGAAGATTTCCAACTCTTTTTCTTAAGATAATTTTTCTAGAAAATTTGTGAGATCAATATCAAAATTTTCTAATTTTTTCTCCAAATTGTTTGACTTTTGGAGCTCAGAAATTCCTTCGTTTCCTCCAAACATTTTCTTAGATTTTCTAAAAAAAACGTTTTCCCTCCAGTTTCTGAACTACCAGAGGAACAACCAGACCATCGTGTACCGGCTGCTGGACGTGGCCAACCAGGTGGACTGGGTGAGTCCCGCTGCGCTCCGCTCCGGCCTGCTCCGCTCCGGCCTGCTCCGCTCCGGCCTGCTCCGCTCCGGCCTGCTCCGCTCCGGCCTGCTCCGCTCCGGTCCAACAGAACCGCCCCGCTCTCTGTTTCAGTTCTACCGGCCGCTGAAGGTCCGGGGGTGGCGCTGACGGGCCTGGAGGTCTGGAGCGACCGCGATAAGATCCGGGTGCAGAGGAGCCCCACCGACACGCTCAACAACTTCCTGGAGTGGAGGAGCAGAGAGCTGCTGCCACGCCTTCGCCATGACAACGCCCAGCTCATCATGTACGCCTTCAGAATAAAAGCTCCTGGTTTGTTTTAGTCCTCCAGGCTTTGGAGGGTTGAAATGTTCCCACCATTTAAAAAACGAGTCCCAGGTCCTGGAAAGTTTTTGAACACAGTCATAAAGAGAAGCCTTAAAATCCTGGAATGTTTTGGGCTTTTCAACAGACATCGAAGGATTCATTCAGTCATCATCTTGAAAATCACCACATTCTGTGTTTCCTTCATGAAACCATGTCAACTTACTTTACCACAAATAGTTCAAATCACATTTTAATGACAAATTTGACATTTTGTAACCTGAGAGGAAATAACAGAGGAAGAATCTGCAGCTATAAAATCCTCCTAAAGCTGAGCATTAATCCAGCACAGAGCTGATCTGGGGATTATTATTGGATTAACAGATTAATAATTGGATGCAAAAGGGGCTTAGCTGAAGATTTATTGAGCAGAATATAAACCAGAGAGTTCAGGTGAGACCAGTTTACACACTGAAAAGGTTTTTCATCTTAAAAGATTTAATCCCATTTGTTTTACAGCATCTGTATTCCAGTTAATTAATAATCGATTCATCACAATTAATCGTTTTGTCCTTCTGCTTATATGTGGAATCTGCCAGAGCTGGGTCTCTGTACGCCGGGGAACCCAAGGTGGGTCCTGGCGGGCCGGCGTCCTGCAGGTTTCAGGCTCTCCCTGCTGGGAGCAGCAGGTCAGAGGTCAAGGGTCCCCTTTGGCCTGCAAGGAGCCATCACTGGATCCAGGTGCGTTAAACCAGGGAGGGACTAAACCCTGCAGGACGCCGGCCCAACAGACCCACTTTGAGTTAATAAACTGTCTTACCTGAGGACATAAGGTACAAATATTATGTTATTGATCATTGAAGCCGCAGTTGGGTTAAATAGAGCTGGAAGAGTCGGTCCAGTCCAGACCTCAGACAATCCAATCTGGACCTTAGAGAGTCCGGTCCGGACCTGAGCTCTGTCTGACCCGAACAGGGGCGAGTCGTTTGACGGTACCACTGTGGGAATGGCGTCCCAGTCCTCCATGTGCTCCAGGGACCGATCCGGAGGCGTCAACGTGGTGAGGCCTGCTCCTGTCTACTTCCTGTTTGACCCGCCCACTTCCTGTCTGACCTGGCTCTGTTCCTCAGGACCACCTGGTCAGCGTTCTGGGCGTGGCCTCCACCGTCGCCCACGAGCTCGGACACAACCTGGGCATGAGGCACGACACGGCCGAGCGCCGCTGCTCCTGCGACAACGAGCCGCGCCTGGGAGGATGCATCATGAGCCGTCCACCGGGTCAGAACCAGAACCTTCCAGTCTAGAGCGGCACTTATTTCACTTCCAACACCGATACCTGGTTTATCGTCGATCCAATGGACACGTTGCATGTTATTGTTTCACATGACGGAGGGCAAAAAGCCGATTCTTCTATTTTCCCGCCGCAGTAGAACCGTTAGCGAAATGACACCTGGAGGTGTAGCTATAAAAGCAGAACTCAAAACCACCGGATTTCCTCAGTCCTGCTTTCTGTGTTGCTGTCCTTCACTCAGCGCAATAGCAACCAACAACGACGCCACTCATGATTCCCAAACATTTCCTCCACAAAGAGCATTTAGTCCGTCACAGCTTCATGTTTTCAGGCTTCATGTTTATCTAGCGATTATTAATAAGTGATCACTGTAGATTAGCTACCGCAGCTACTAGCTACCGGTGCTACTAGCTACCGCTGCTAATAGCTATCGCTGCTAATAGCTACCACTGCTACTAGCTATTGCTGCTATTAGCTACTGCTACTAATAGCTATCGCTGCTACTAGCTATTGCTGCTACTAGCTACCACTGCTACTAGCTACCGCTACTATTAGCTACTGCTGCTAATAGCTACCGCTGCTACTAGCTATTGCTGCTACTAGCTACCGCTGCTATTAGCTACCACTGCTACTAGCTACCACTGCTACTAGCTATCGCTGCTATTAGCTACCGCTACTACTAGCTATTGCTGCTACTAGCTACCACTGCTACTAGCTATCAAATGGATCAAAGTGCAATTAGAAAGAATAAATATAAAATACAGCATAGAATTAAACTGAATAGATCTGCCTCATGGATCGATAAGAAGGTCTTAATAACTGATCTAGAATTTTTAAATGTCAGGACCGATTCAGATATTAACGTCAGACCGGTGCATCTAGTCCAAATTCAGCAAATCGCTATTAATGCTAAGCTATTAAAATCTCAGCTGATAGAAGGTCAAAGGTCAAATAAACCCTAAAAGTCCTTCCTACAGGTGCAGTTTGATGAGTTTTTGAGCAGGTAGTGCAGAACCTTCCTGTCTGAGTAGGAAGTGTTTGCTGACCTGCGTGGCTGCTGGCCGTGGCTAACAGGATTAGCTCTTCTGATCTGCCTGTGTTGTGGCTCACCTGTTCACCTCTGACCTCAGCTTCATGCCAGGTCAGCAGTTCAGCAGCTGCAGCGCCGCAGATCTCTCCGTCAGCCTGCTGCACGGCGGCGGCATGTGTCTGTTCAACGTGCCGCAGCCGGACGGCTGCTGGGCGGGCCGCGCTGCGGGAACCTGTACGTGGAGAAAGGAGAGGAGTGTGACTGCGGCCTGCTGGAGGTACACACCTGTACACTTAAATACGCACCTGCACTCCTTAGTATTATCCTATGCAGCTTAATTATTCACCAGCCCACCTTAATACATCAGTAATAATTGCATCATTAAATTGCGAATCAGCATCTGGTTCTTCCTGCTGACGCTGCGCTCTGATTGGTCAGGAGTGTGATGACCCGTGCTGTAACGCCTCCACCTGCCAGCTGGTTCCTGGAGCTCAGTGCTCCTCAGATGGTATCTGCTGTGAGGATTGTAAGGTGAGCCGGGCTCCAGGTCCACAAATAAAACTCGTCCGGTTCAACCAGAATCTCGCTAACGCTTCTTCTTCTTGGGTTCAGATGCGCGCGGCGGGCTCCATGTGCCGTGAGCCGCTGGGAGAGTGCGACCTACCTGAGTACTGCACAGGCTCCTCCCCTCACTGCCCCCCAATGTGTTCCTGCAGAACGGAGAGGCCTGCCGGAACGGCGCCTCCTACTGCTACGGAGGAGTCTGCGCCGATATGGATTCCCAGTGCCAGATGCTGTGGGGGAACAGTAAGAAAACCAGTTCAGAGTGATTCCAGTAAAAGTAGCAACAGCACTCCAACTGGAGCCAGTTTGTTCTGGTTCTGATGTTAGCTTTAGCGTTAGCAGCTTCCATCTGAACCCGGTTGGTTCTGGTTCTGTGTGTCCAGATGCCAGCAGCGCTCCAGCCGTTTGCTTCTCATCCGTCAACAAACAGGGAAATAAATATGGAAACTGCGGCCAGCTGGCCAACGGCTCTTACATCGCCTGTTCCAACCCGTGAGTAAACACTGCTCTACAAGCCTACAAATCCCACGATGCCTCAGTCTTCCGGGTTCATCCGTCTGTGTCTCTTGTTGCTTCAGAGACGTTCTGTGCGGCAGGATCCAGTGTCAGGGCGGGACGGAGCGCCCCCTGCTGGGCAGCATCGCCCAGATCCTGACCGTCCGCTTCAACCACAGCGACCTGGTCTGCAGAGGGACATTCTTCCACCTGGACGACGACGTGTCCGACCCGGCCACCGTGGCCCAGGGCACCGCCTGCGGGCCCGGCAAGGTCAGAGGGCACTTCCTCCCCGCTCAGCCAATCAGACTTCATCTTAAATCATCTTAGATCTGATTGGCCTACAGGCCAACTTGTTTCTACTGGTTCAGATTTTCTTTCTCAAATCAGTTTTAAAAAGTTACATTTAGTGATGAGAAGTGATTTTTTTTTTCAGTATCAGTATTAAAGTGTAATTTATGATAAAGATACTTATTTTTTGCATGTAATAATAATAATAATAAGAATCTGTATGCTTCTTATTATTAATAATATCATTGTTCCCTGTGTGTAGGCGTGTTTGAATCAGAAATGTGAGGATGCGTCCGTGTTTGGCGTGGAAGAATGTCGCAGGAAGTGCAGCGGTCATGGAGTGAGTCACACCATTTCAGGCTTCAAAATAAAATAATTCAGTAAAAAACGCATTTCAAATCAGTAAAACTAAATCCATCTGTCTGACCTCCAAAACACAGAGTCCCGATTTAATCCGCAGCGACTCCTGAAAACCTGCAGAACGGAAAATACATCAAAACCTGAAATCAGTTATCAAATTAATTCACTCTCATAAACAAAATATATTTTGATATGTTTTTAAATAAATATTTATACTTATACGTTTTTTTTTTATTTTGTTCATCAATTCCTTCAGTTTTTATACACATTATTTAAAATGAAATAGAGCAAATGATACCAAAACATTCAAAAATGAAAACATGTTGGGTTACAATTAAAATGGACCATTAATATATTTATTTTACGAGTTAATTAATGTCCTGCAGTCAAGACAGATTAAATATTATATTCTATAATAAATAAACATTTAATTTATTTTACATGCAAGTATTTTGGGATCTAAACTGTTTTTTAAAGTGTTTATTATTTTTAATTATGTAAAAAGCAGCCAGACATTCAGGAAGCCTGAGGAAAAAGATATTTAATCTTATTTATAGACCATCTGATTTTATAGGAAATGGAAGAAACAAGTTTGGATTTTTCCTTTTAGGACGTCGGAGTAAATGTGGATTTTTAATAAAAATGTTTGGCTGTATCTGGCTGCGTCATGTGATGGGCGGTTCCTGTCTACCTGTCTCAGGTGTGTAACAGCAACAGGAAGTGCCACTGCGACGCCGGCTGGGCTCCTCCTGACTGCCGGTTCTCTGGACGCGGCGGCAGCGTCGACAGCGGCCCGGCCGCCGCCGCCGCAGGTGCTTCCCCCTCAGAACCAGAGCCAGAACCGGCTCCGGTTCCGCTGCTGACCCGCCTGTTTCTGTGCTCAGAGTCCGATCCGGTCCAGGTCGCCCTGCTCCTCATCTTCTTCTTCATCCTGCCCGTGGTGCTCCTCTTCCTCGCTCTGCGCTTCCCCCGTTTCCGCCGGACGCTCTGCTGCCTCGGACCCAACAGCCCGTTCCACAAGGCCCGGCAGCACAACCGGTACCGCTGACCCATCACACACACACACACACACACACACAGACACACAAACTTCACGCATAACTCTGCTCTTACCCACAATGCAGTGTGGCTGACTCTGAGCTGTGGGGTTTGGAGTTTGAACCCGCCCACGTCTGCAGGTACTGCTGGACCTGCCGGGTTCTGCCTGGTTCTGCTCAGCAGATGGTTCTGTAGGCTCAGTGGTCGTCTGGAGTATCTGTGAGCGCTCAGTATCCTACCAGCAGTCAGGCTCCAGTTTCCCTTAAAAAGTGAATTGTTTGAATTTATTGCAGAATTTCTGTAATCCATACAGGTTCATATTACATACAGACCTCGCTGGACTGAAGGAAAGTCTGTTCATGTTATTTGAATAAATTGATGTGATCATCATGATAAATATAAATACACATTAACATGAATCCAACATGCAACAAACTGATCAAATTGTTTAGTTTTATTGATGATTTAACCAAATCAAAGGGGGTCAAAGTATATTGAATTGAGGAGTTGTACCGAGTCACACCACAAGGTGGCGGTGCGTCCCCTGCTCTGCCAGTCTTCAACCAGTAAAGTCTGCATCTTACGTTAGCGTAGTTCCAGGTTGCTAACGTTCACCAAACACATGGATGGAAATGATTCCCTTACAGCAGGAGTGTCATCATCCCGTCCTGGAGGGCCGGCGTCCTGCAACCTTTAGATGAGTCTCTGCTGCACCTGAATAGAATAATGAGGTCATTAAGGCTCTGGAGAACCAGGAGGAGGTAATGAAGCCATTTCATTCCAGTGTTTTGTACCTGTGGCACATCTAAAACCTGCAGGACAGCGGCCCTCGAGGACTGGATGTTGACACTCCTGCCTTACAGTTTTTAGCATCTAACATTTGTTATTCCGGTCGTATGAAGTCGATGTTTTCAGAGTGAAATAACTATTATGTTTGTTAGCATTTCGACGCTAACATGGTAGTTGCCCTGCAAGCTTAGCAGCTAACGTCTAAACGGTTAGCAATGATTGTAGCGATCCAGAAATAAAGTTTGAACACCTCGCTGGTAACATGCTGACTGCTCAGACGTACTCGCTCCACTCGACGGTCTGTGCTTTTCAATCTTCACCTCCCTGACTGATGTGATCACACCTGCTGTAAATCTACTTAAAGCTGCACTCACAAAAATCCCAGTATGGCTCCTGATCGGAGCAGAGGGGATTCTGGGTAATGAAGTCCTGAGTGTTGAGCCCTTCAGTGCAGCTTTAAGTTCTTCAGAGATCTGAGAATGAACCTGCTCCATCTGTAGCCGGGTAGTTAGCATGATGTTGTGTTTCTTGCTAAACTAACACCATGAAACCCAGAGCGGATCCGGACCGTCGCCGGTTCCGGCGCCACTTCCCGACCGCCACGGTGTAACCATGACAACCGTCCTTCATGTTGCCCAGGGCGACGGAGCGAGTAGACGGTCGCCACGGAGAGCAGGTCCGACCGCTGCGATACCACCTGAACCCGCGGTCCGACGGGCCGGCGCCGCCTCGCCAACAGGTAACCATGACCGCACACACTGAGCGCCGGCCGGAGGAGAGTCTGGGGGTCACGACCTTTAAACTGGAAGCAGAACGTCTTCGGGTTCTGGTCCTTTGGGTCCATTTCCAGAGACTCAGCAGAACTGTACCGGGTAACACCAGCAGGGGGCGCAGTCGGCCTTGCTGGTTTAAGCAGCGAACAGAGGAACCGTTTCCTCTCCTGGTTGCTCTGGTTCGGTCTCCGTGGTAACCAGGTGTTTCAGTTGTGCTCCAGGTTGCAGGTGGATCAGTGAGACCGTCGTTTACCGACCACAGCTTCCTGCTGGATTCAGACACGCTGCTATGGAGACGGTCATAAACATTTCCAGTATTTCTGAAACGGTTCATCTGACTGAAATAGTTCTTAACTTATTGATCTGTACCTGGAGTACAGACTGAAAGAACACGTTCAGACCCGAGGCTCCTCCGACCGGTCCGGTCCGACCCGAGGCTCCTCCGACCGGTCCGGTCCGACCCGAGGCTCCTCCCGGTCCGGTCCGACCCGAGGCTCCTCCGACCGGTCCGGTCCGACCCGAGGCTCCTCCGACCGGTCCGGTCCGACCCGAGGCTCCTCCGACCGGTCCGGTCCGACCCGAGGCTCCTCCGACCGGTCCGGTCCGAGGCTCCTCCGACCGGTCCGACCCGAGGCTCCTCTGTCCGGTCCGGTCCGACCCGAGGCTCCTCTGTCCGGTCCGGTCCGACCCGAGGCTCCTCCGACCGGTCCGGTCCGACCCGAGGCTCCTCCGACCGGTCCGGTCCGACCCGAGGCTCCTCCGACCGGTCCGGTCCGAGGCTCCTCCGACCGGTCCGACCCGAGGCTCCTCTGTCCGGTCCGGTCCGACCCGAGGCTCCTCTGTCCGGTTCCGGTCCGAGGCTCCTCCGACCGGTCCGGTCCGGTCCGAGGCTCCTCCGACCGGTCCGGTCCGACCCGAGGCTCGTGGGAGGAAATGAAACGGCGAAGTGCCGTCTGCTTCCCTTTCTCTTTTATTAATGCTGCTGCTGCTTTCTGCCTCTGCTTCCTGTTTTCTCTCCAATCAGGTTCATGACAGGCCTGCTCCTCCCACTAAGCCCCTCCCCCCTGACCCCGCCCTAACTCCCCCGCAGCAGGTAACCAACACCTGGCCGTTCGGTGTCTGTGTGTCCCGCTGCCTCTCAGCTGCTGCTCTGTAGTTTGTCGTCTCGGTCCAGACGTCTGTCTTGTTTTCATGTGGGATTGTTTATAAAATTATGGTAAAATGTTTATTTTCTATATCAAACAAAGACTTTCAACAGCTGATGGAGTTCCCAGTCGGAGCAGTGAATCAATCAGTTTAAATCAATCAGTTTAAATCAATCAGTTTAAATCAATCAGTTTGAATCAGTCAGTTTAAATCAATCAGTTTGAATCAATCAGTTTAAATCAATCAGTTTGAATCAATCAGTTTAAATCAATCAGTTTAAATCAATCAGTTTAAATCAATCAGTTTGAATCAATCAGTTTAAATCAATCAGTTTAAATCAATCAGTTTGAATCAATCAGTTTAAATCAATCAGTTTGAATCATCAGTTTAAATCAATCAGTTTAAATCAATCAGTTTAAATCAATCAGTTTGAATCAGTCAGTTTAAATCAATCAGTTTGAATCAATCAGTTTAAATCAATCAGTTTGAATCAATCAGTTTAAATCAATCAGTTTAAATCAATCAGTTTAAATCAATCAGTTTGAATCAATCAGTTTAAATCAATCAGTTTAAATCAATCAGTTTGAATCAATCAGTTTAAATCAATCAGTTTAAATCAATCAGTTTGAATCAGTCAGTTTAAATCAATCAGTTTGAATCAATCAGTTTAAATCAATCAGTTTGAATCAATCAGTTTAAATCAATCAGTTTAAATCAATCAGTTTGAATCAATCAGTTTAAATCAATCAGTTTGAATCAATCAGTTTAAATCAATCAGTTTAAATCAATCAGTTTAAATCAATCAGTTTAATCAATCAGTTTAAATCAATCAGTTTAAATCAATCAGTTTGAATCAATCAGTTTAAATCAATCATTTAAATCAATCAGTTTGAATCAATCAGTTTAAATCAATCAGTTTAAATCAATCAGTTTGAATCAATCAGTTTAAATCAATCAGTTTGAATCAATCAGTTTGAATCAATCAGTTTAAATCAATCAGTTTGAATCAATCAGTTTAAATCAATCAGTTTGAATCAATCAGTTTGAATCAATCAGTTTAAATCAATCAGTTTAAATCAATCAGTTTGAATCAATCAGTTTAAATCAATCAGTTTGAATCAATCAGTTTAAATCAATCAGTTTGAATCAATCAGTTTGAATCAATCAGTTTAAATCAATCAGTTTAAATCAATCAGTTTAAATCAATCAGTTTGAATCAATCAGTTTGAATCAATCAGTTTAAATCAATCAGTTTGAATCAATCAGTTTAAATCAATCAGTTTGAATCAATCAGTTTAAATCAATCAGTTTGAATCAATCAGTTTAAATCAATCAGTTTAAATCAATCAGTTTAAATCAATCAGTTTAAATCAATCAGTTTGAATTAATCAGTTTGAATCAATCAGTTTAAATCAATCAGTTTGAATCAATCAGTTTAAATCAATCAGTTTAAATCAATCAGTTTAAATCAATCAGTTTGAATCAATCAGTTTAAATCAATCAGTTTAAATCAATCAGTTTAAATCAATCAGTTTGAATCAATCAGTTTGAATCAATCAGTTTAAATCAATCAGTTTGAATCAATCAGTTTAAATCAATCAGTTTGAATCAATCAGTTTGAATCAATCAGTTTAAATCAATCAGTTTGAATCAATCAGTTTAAATCAATCAGTTTGAATCAATCAGTTTAAATCAATCAGTTTGAATCAATCAGTTTGAATCAATCAGTTTAAATCAATCAGTTTGAATCAATCAGTTTAAATCAATCAGTTTGAATCAATCAGTTTGAATCAGTCAGTTTAAATCAATCAGTTTGAATCAATCAGTTTAAATCAATCAGTTTAAATCAATCAGTTTAAATCAATCAGTTTGAATCAATCAGTTTGAATCAGTCAGTTTAAATCAATCAGTTTGAATCAATCAGTTTAAATCAATCAGTTTAAATCAATCAGTTTAAATCAATCAGTTTGAATCAATCAGTTTAAATCAATCAGTTTAAATCAATCAGTTTAAATCAATCAGTTTAAATCAATCAGTTTGAATCAATCAGTTTAAATCAATCAGTTTAAATCAATCAGTTTAAATCAATCAGTTTAAATCAGTCAGTTTAAATCAATCAGTTTAAATCAATCAGTTTAAATCAATCAGTTTAAATCAATCAGTTTAAATCAATCAGTTTGAATCAATCAGTTTAAATCAATCAGTTTAAATCAATCAGTTTAAATCAATCAGTTTGAATCAATCAGTTTAAATCAATCAGTTTAAATCAATCAGTTTAAATCAATCAGTTTAAATCAATCAGTTTAAATCAATCAGTTTGAATCAATCAGTTTGAATCAATCAGTTTAAATCAATCAGTTTAAATCAATCAGTTTAAATCAATCAGTTTAAATCAATCAGTTTAAATCAATCAGTTTGAATCAATCAGTTTAAATCAATCAGTTTAAATCAATCAGTTTAAATCAATCAGTTTAAATCAATCAGTTTGAATCAATCAGTTTGAATCAATCAGTTTGAATCAATCGGTTTAAATCAATCAGTTTAAATCAATCAGTTTAAATCAATCAGTTTGAATCAATCAGTTTAAATCAATCAGTTTACTGAATCAGTTTGTGGCTCTGATGGATTCGATGCTCACAACTCGATTGGTTCAGAAACTTTAAATAGATTTTCTCTTCAGGGATCTAGAAATAAACTCTAGATCCGTGAGAGGGTAACTGCTCCTTTATCTCCTCCTCCTGACCTTTGACCTGCTCTTCTTCTTGCTTTCATTTCTGCTGCTTCAGCTGGTTGAAGCGCGACCAGCTGCCCCCACCAAGCCTCTGCCCCCTGACCCTGTCGCCCCCGGCAACCAGGTAGGCTCACCTGCAGTCTACCCATCTGAGCCACAGGTTGACATCCAGGCTGCTTCAAGCTGATGTCACTGATATTAAAGTCACTTCATCTGTTTATTGTTGAGCTTTCAGTTTTAACCCTCAGTCTGTGTTGCTGTGGCACCCGCTCTTTGGACCGACCCGGTTCTGTCTGCATGCGGCCTTTCCATCTTCATCTTCGCTCTTCTCCTCTTCCTCCTCACTAACCTTTCAGCCGCCGGCGAGCCGACCTGCCCCGCCCAACAAGCCCCTCCCCCCTGACCCACCTGCACAGGTACGCCGCTCAGCAGCTGGTCTGATTGGCCGGACTGGATCATGTGATCATGGTAGACTCTGGAGGTTCAGGTCTGCTGAGTGATGGATTTGAATGAAATGCAGTTGCCATGGCAACAGCTTTAGTACGTCGTGAACCAATCAACAGTTAGTGAATCATCTGATCCGGTCTCAAACTTCTTCCTGTCTTCAGGTTTCTGTTCCACTCAAGCCCATCGCACCCAAGAAGCCCCGCCCACTGGCTCCGCCCACTCAGCCTTTCCACCCATCAGAGAGCGGCTACGCCTCCAGCACCAAGGCGGAGGGGCAGGGCGCCGTGGCGCCTGCAGCCGGTCCTCACAGGTACCCATAATCCACCTGGACATCATCATGCAGCTGCCGCTGCTGACAGGTTTTCCTTTCAGCCAACTTTCTGATGAACAGTAAATGAGGGTCCCTGACTCACAGAGTTTATTAGACCAAAACATAAAGCAGGTTAAACATGTTCCCCTCCTGATGGTCCAGTCGACCCGGTTCTACTAGAACCAGAACATCCGCTCCACCTCCAGCTGCTGTGGCTGAGTCAAACCAGCCGGTTCCCCTCCTGGCCTGTGGGGGCGCTGCACCAACAACCACTGCAGGAAACGGCACTAAAACCTCTGAAGACACTGAGCAACTTCCTGTTTCACCAGATGAAACAAGATGGAGGCGTCAGAGTTTAGTGAGTTCTCTTTAGTCTTTGGCTGAAGACCAGGAGCCATTTCTGCTGCTAGCGCTAGGCTAACATGTTAGCTTTGGTTACCCAGAATGCCCTAGCAGCAGTCCACTGCCTGCTTTTGGAGCGCTCTCTGGTGTGTAAAATCCTTTTTTTATCTTTCCAAGCTGTTCTAATGTTTTTCACTCATCAAAAACAAACCTGAAGTGTTGCATTCTGGGATGAAGTCAGGAGGCGGAGCTTCAGAAAGAGCAAGAGTTTTTAAAAAGACAGAGGCCCAATTTCAAAGCGTCAAGTCAGGAAGTCAAATGTCTTCAGTCACATGTAATATGGGTTTTATGTATCAACTGCAGGTCACGCAGTTATTAGATTGTGTTTTAAAATGGCACAGTGTGCCCAGAAAGCACGACACTGGCCCTTTAAATATTTCCACATAAATGTCAGACCGACCTTCAGCCTCCAATCACATAGTGGTTCCAACTGGGCCGGTTCTGGTAGAGACGGTTTTCAGTCCAAAGATGGTTCTGATCTGGAGTCGAAGGATCTTCCTGTTGGGAAACATCAACAAGGTCTTGGTGTCAATTCAGACATAACTGAACCCACAGAAATCTGATTTATTGATATTTTTTAGATTTTTCAAAACTTATTTTTGCCGTAAAATGGTGAATGTTTGGAGTCGAATCATAACCTACATATTTTGAATCATACAAATCATATATATTTTTTATCTCGTGCTTTCAATTTCTGGTGGCCATTTTTAAAAATGGCCGCCAGGATTGTAATGGAGAATGTATGGTTTTCAATAAAGTGAGCAGCGGTTATTAGCCCCAGCTAACCAAACAGTTGGGCTCACTAACCACTAACTTGCTAGATGAGAATCTCAGCTCTGCTAAGAACAAAATTTTTTAAAAATGTGTGGAAGCCAACGCTACATCGCTAGACACAGAAGTAGCGAAAGCTAACACTAGAACATAAAAATTCCCAGAAGCTAACAGTAAAGAGCTAAACACAAAAAACGAGCAAAAGCTATAGCTGTATACATAAAATAGCAAATGCTATCACTAAACTAATGAATCATTAAATTAGCAGACGCTAACGCTAAACTACTAAATAAATTAGCAGAAGCTAATGCTAAGCAGCTAAACTGTGTTTGCAGACGACCTCCGAGTCGGCCGGCGGTTCCACCAAAGTTCGAGTCGTCGCCTCCGCTTTAACCCCGGAGACGCCGAGCTGCTGCTGGACGGAGCGGCCGAAGGTGACGATGAAGGTGATGATGAAGATGACTTCCTGTCGTCGGATCCGCTCCCGCAGGATCTCCGGCCGGAAACCGACCACCTCAGTGCCTTGCTCAGCAGCGTCACACAAACATTCAGGATCCAAACCTGCTGCTGGTGGCCTTATAGCGCCCCCTGCTGGCACCACGGGATTCTGTGCCTTGCTCATGGACACACTGGACAGAACTCAAAGCTGGGGTCAAAGTTCAGACAGTAGAGTTGGAGGATCAACGCAGTGTCTGATTGGACGGAGGAGGAACCAATGAGATTCTTTATATTTCCATGAACTCCCAAAGACTTCGGATTAAACCCGGAGAGAAACGAATCTGAAGATGTTTTCAGTCCAACGGTCACAAATATTTCAAGTTTTATACAAAATGTCCTGATGTGACAAAAATCAATGCAGTCGATTCGTTTAGGAATAAAATATCCAACATCACCGTTTCTTCTTCTTCTTCAGTTGGTTGCTCTTCCCACCGTGTTGACGACGGTTCTGACCCGCTAAATCTTCAGATCCTTCTGGACCTAACCAGTTTCTACATCCAGTCCTAGACCAGGACGCCCACAGCTGCAGGACTTCCTGGTGTCTGTCCAATCAGGGAGCAGAGACACGCCCACTCTACACATATTTAACTTTTTGAACATCTTATGATAAAACGTCCCATAGAGAAAAATATAGCAGTAAAGTAACTGAATATTTATAGTTTAATATTCGGTTCTGGTGGATGGTTTCTGCTCAGACTGAAAGTAAATGTGCTGCAGGCCAAATGCTGCGGCGCTTCGGTTCTTCATCCGTTGTTGCTCCAGCAGTGAAGACATGAGACGCTGCTCTGCTGCGTTTGTTTCTGTCTGCAACAGTAAAATCATTTTGGTGATCCGTCCTTCCTTTTCTTGCTCAGCAGTAAAAATCTTCCTGCTGTTTCTTCTTTTTCGTTTCGCCGTCTTTTCGTGGTCAAACTCGGCTGACGGTGTTGTTGCTCCGCTCACACCGAAGCTTTCAATCTGTTGCTGTGATTCAGAAATTTTACAGAAAATACAAAATTCAGAGATTTTAGCTTAGTAGAGCAGAACCTGGATTTCTTTGTGTTAAAAACATCTGGAATATTTAATTCCATTTTTTCAGCTGAAGGAAAATTTGTTTCTGTTTCCAGAAATTTAAAGCATTTAAACTGAGCAGCAAATGAAGGAGAAACAGGAAATTCATCTGATATACAGGAAGATGTTTTCCCTCCATCATTCCTCCATCATCCCTCCATCATCCCTCCATCATCCTTCCATCATCCCTCCATCATTCCTCCATCATCCCTCCATCATTCCTCCATCATCCTTCCATCATCCCTCCATCATTCCTCCATCATCCCTCCATCATCCCTCCATCATCCCTCCATCATCCCTCCATCATCCCTCCATCATTCCTCCATCATCCCTCCATCATTCCTCCATCATCCCTCCATCATCCCTCCATCACTCCATCATCCCTCCATCATCCCTCCATCATCCCTCCATCATCCCTCCATCATTCCTCCATCATCCTCCATCATCCCTCCATCATCCCTCCATCACTCCATCATCCCTCCATCATTCCTCCATCATCCTTCCATCATCCCTCCATCATTCCTCCATCATCCCTCCATCATCCCTCCATCATTCCTCCATCATCCCTCCATCATCCTTCCATCATCCCTCCATCATTCCTCCATCATCCCTCCATCATCCCTCCATCATTCCTCCATCATCCCTCCATCATTCCTCCATCATCCCTCCATCCCTCCATCATTCCTCCATCATCCCTCCATCATTCCTCCATCATCCCTCCATCATTCCTCCATCATCCCTCCATCATCCTCCATCACTCCATCATCCCTCCATCATCCCTCCATCATTCCTCCATCATCCCTCCATCATCCCTCCATCATCCCTCCATCATCCTTCCATCATCCCTCCATCATTCCTCCATCATCCCTCCATCATCCCTCCATCATTCCTCCATCATCCCTCCATCATTCCTCCATCATCCCTCCATCATCCCTCCATCATCCCTCCATCATTCCTCCATCATCCCTCCATCATCCCTCCATCATCCCTCCATCATTCCTCCATCATCCCTCCATCATCCCTCCATCATCCCTCCATCATCCCTCCATCATCCCTCCATCATCCCTCCATCATTCCTCCATCATCCCTCCATCATTCCTCCATCATCCCTCCATCATTCCTCCATCATCCCTCCATCATCCCTCCATCACTCCATCATCCCTCCATCATCCCTCCATCATTCCTCCATCATCCCTCCATCATCCCTCCATCATCCCTCCATCACTCCATCATCCCTCCATCATTCCTCCATCATCCTTCCATCATCCCCTCCATCATTCCTCCATCATCCCTCCATCATCCCTCCATCATCCCTCCATCATCCCTCCCTCATCCTTCCATCATCCCTCCCTCCTCCCTCATCCCTCCATCATCCCTCCATCATTCCTCCATCATCCCTCCATCATTCCTCCATCATCCCTCCATCATCCCTCCATCATTCCTCCATCATCCCTCCATCATTCCTCCATCATCCCTCCATCATTCCTCCATCATCCCTCCATCATCCCTCCATCACTCCATCATCCCTCCATCATCCCTCCATCATTCCTCCATCATCCCTCCATCACCCTCCATCATCCCTCCATCATCCTTCCATCATCCCTCCATCATTCCTCCATCATCCCTCCATCATCCCTCCATCATTCCTCCATCATCCCTCCATCATTCCTCCATCATCCCTCCATCATTCCTCCATCATCCCTCCATCATCCCTCCATCACTCCATCATCCCTCCATCATCCCTCCATCATTCCTCCATCATCCCTCCATCATCCCTCCATCATCCCTCCATCACTCCATCATCCCTCCATCATTCCTCCATCATCCTTCCATCATCCCTCCATCATTCCTCCATCATTCCTCCATCATCCCTCCATCACTCCATCATCCCTCCATCATCCCTCCATCATTCCTCCATCATCCCTCCATCATCCCTCCATCACTCCATCATCCTCCATCATTCCTCCATCATCCCTCCATCATTCCTCCATCATCCCTCCATCATTCCTCCATCATCCCTCCATCATTCCTCCATCATCCCTCCATCATCCCTCCATCACTCCATCATCCCTCCATCATCCCTCCATCATCCCTCCATCATCCCTCCATCACTCCATCATCCTTCCATCATCCCTCCATCATTCCTCCATCATCCTTCCATCATCCCTCCATCATCCCTCCATCATCCCTCCATCACTCCATCATCCCTCCATCATCCCTCCATCATTCCTCCATCATCCCTCCATCATCCCTCCATCATCCCTCCATCACTCCATCATCCCTCCATCATTCCTCCATCATCCTTCCATCATCCCTCCATCATTCCTCCATCATCCTTCCATCATCCCTCCATCATCCCTCCATCATCCCTCCATCATTCCTCCATCATCCTTCCATCATCCCTCCATCATTCCTCCATCATCCTTCCATCATCCCTCCATCATCCCTCCATCATCCCTCCATCCCTCCCTCATCCCTCCATCATCCCTCCCTCATCCCTCCATCATCCCTCCATCATCCCTCCATCATCCCTCCATCATCCCTCCATCATCCCTCCATCATCCCTCCATCACTCCATCATCCCTCCATCATCCCTCCATCATTCCTCCATCATCCTTCCATCCCTCCATCATTCCTCCATCATCCTTCCATCATCCCTCCATCATCCCTCCATCATCCCTCCATCACTCCATCATCCTTCCATCATCCCTCCATCATTCCTCCATCATCCCTCCATCATTCCTCCATCATTCCTCCATCATTCCTCCATCATCCCTCCATCCGTCCTCAGCAGGAGATCCACATCTTCTCCTTCTGGCTGCAGCGGTTTCCTCAATCTCCCTCTGATTGTTTCCTGATTTTCTGCAGAAGATGAAACTCCGCCTCCTTTCTGCTGCTTCGTCTCTAAGTTGTGTGTAAATCTGAGGAGGAGTTTGGACCCGGACCAGAACTTCCTCCTCCTTTCTCTAAGTGGTTTTCAGAGAGGCGTGTTTAAAGTTCCTGAAAGCATCGGCGGCGCGTTATCTGCTGCATTTCATCACATCCTGGAGCCTCTTCCTCCTCCTCCTCCTCCTCCTCGTCGCCTCTGACCTCAGACTGAGGGGAGGAAGTTGCGGCCGTTCTGATCGTCACTCTGAGCGCTGCTGCTCTGCGCGCCGGACCGACCCGACCTGCAGCATGGCCTCTTCGCTCGCCCTCCTCTTCCTCAGCCTGCTGGGCTCCACACGCGCTCTTCCTCCTCGGATCTCCTTCCTGCTCAGTAAGTCGCCAACTGAATGATTATTGATGGGCTCTGCTTTAGACCAGAGGATGAAGGAATGTCAGTGTTTCTCTTCCTCTGACATTTTCCTGCAGAATCAGAATCAGTTCTGATGGTTCCGCCGTTTGGGTCAGAGAACATCTGATCAGAAATGACAGAAGTTATTTTCCAGGATTGGGTCCAGGGTGAATAATGGTGCTGCTACGCCGTTTCATGGTCCAGCTCTGCGGTCATTTCCCAGAGGAATGAAGGCGTTCTCACCATGCTGAAGCCAAAACATGCAAACATTACATTCATTTGAATTGAAGTCACATTTTAATCAATTCAAGTTCATTTAATCAGCACAACAGGTTATTCAGTCCAGAACAATCCAGTCAGCAGCGCTTCTGGTTCTCCTCTCCTGACCAAGCATGTGGCGACAGTGGACAGGAATCACTTCCTCTCCACTGGAAAACATCCAGCAGAACCAGAACCGCCTCTGCTGATGAGACAGGAAGTTCAGAGAAGGAGAAGCGCGCCGCCGTCGGTTTGTTTTCACGGTTTAAACGAGGAATCTGCCGGATCCAGAAGCAACGCACGGAAACACTTCAGGGTCCGATACTGGAAAAGTTTGAAGACAAACCAGAACCGAGTCATCAAAATGGCCGCCGCGCTCAGCGTGTCTGGCTCCTTGAAACGACCAACAACCAGGATGTGGTTCATCAAACTGGTTTTAAAGGAGGCAAGTCTGCACGAAAAACATCTGCAGTCGCTACAGCAACCAAAATGACCACAGCTGCTCAAGATATTTGAACATTTATATTTAAATATATGTTCATTAGCTCATTATATGATGAGCTAATGATTCCTGATGCTCTGATAAAGATTCAGAACCAAACCGGTTCAGACGGCTGGAAATGAAACCCGAAAGCTTTTCAACTCATTTTAAAACTTACTGTGTTTAATCACGACTTTAAATTCAATACGTTTATCAGACAAGCAGTTTATCAAATATTAGGGAACAAAAAAAGCTTTGCAGACCAGTTAGATTATTGATTTCTAGATTAAATCCTTATCAAACTGAAACCACTAATTTATTCAAATGA